ATGGGGAAAGGTGGGAACTGTGTCAGGCAATGAGCCCAAGCTGCAGCCTCTTTGGAGGTTCAGCCTCTTGTGCAGAACGAGGATTTTCTTGGCCACAGGTGATTGCAGAGTCTGTTCCTGCCCAGGTGCAGTGATGCTCAGGGAGCGGGTGAGGGGATGGAGAGGCTGCACCTCCTGGCTCTGTTGTGGTTCACTCTGCTGCTCTTGCTCACCTCACAGTCTCTACCAAACTGCCTGTGATGGTCTTCATCTATGGTGGTGCCTTCCTGGTGGGAGGGAGCCAGGGAGCCAATTTCCTGGATAACTACCTGTACGATGGCGAGGAGATCGCCGTGCGGGGCAACGTCATCGTGGTCACCGTCAACTATCGCCTGGGGCCCCTGGGCTTCCTGAGCACGGGAGATGAGAACATGCCAGGTACCACAGCTGCTCCCTCTGTGTCTGGGGGGACCCTGTGCTGGGTCAGCTTTGCTGTGCCCTTGCTCAGTGGTGGGTGCTCTGTGCTGCTCAGGGAACTACGGGCTGAAGGACCAGCACATGGCTATTGCCTGGGTGAAGAGGAACATCAAGGCCTTTGGGGGTGATCCAGAAAACATCACCATCTTTGGGGAGTCGGCCGGTGCTGTCAGTGTCTCCCTGCAGGTGAGTTGTGTCTGTCACTCCCCGCTAGAGCCACTTCTGTGTAAATGGGGGAGAGGGACCCCTCGGCACTGTGACACTTTCCTCCCCACCTGCTGCCTCATTAACATCCTCTCCTGGACAGCAGTGCTCAGCCTCTGTGCTTTGTAGGTGCTCCTCCTCCTTCTCTTTAACCAGTCCCATGAGTTTTTACCTGAAAGCCTCTTGTTTCCACTGTGCACCCCAGACCTTGTCCCCGAAGAACAAGGGCCTGTTCAAGAGAGCCATCAGCCAGAGCGGTGTTGGGGTCTGCAGCTGGGCCATCCAGAGGGACCCCCTCTTCTGGGCTAAAAAGGTAATGTGCAAATCTTGTCTGAAGGATTATAGCTTCCTAAAAAGTGATTCCCTAGAGCAGAGCATAACTAGTAATGGAGTGGCAGGAGCAATGTCCAGCAGGGCTTTGGAAACCTGATGTTTTGAGATTAAAACCAACCACAGCTCTTCCTCTGTAACTCCTGGCTTCGACAAGTAATGCCCTGTGGTTTCTCTCTCTCTCTCTGCTTCTGCAGCTTGGAGAAAAGGTGGGCTGCTCCACAGAAGACACCGCCGTCTTGGCCAGCTGCCTGCGTAACGCTGATCCCAAAGAACTGACTCTGGCCTACCACCTGCAGCTCACCAACCTGCCCTGTAAGTCCCCCAGTCTGAAGTGTGACCCGCCACCCTCTCAGGGCTCCCCAAAGCTCTGGCAGGACACTGGGGTGATTTCCAGGAGTTATGAAGCAGTGCTTGTGCCCTTCAGAGCAGGGCAATAGTGACAGATCTTCCATAGGCAGGTGCACACTGTGCTGGGTGAGCACAGCCCCTCAGGCAGCAGTGGCACGGGGATCATCCAAAGGCCGTGCCTTGACTCCAGACAAGCTGTTTGGGCTTCCTGGTCTGTGGAAGCAGCAAGAGCAAATCCAGCACGCAGCTTACAAACAAAATTCAACTGACCACATCCTTGCTATTTCCATCTGAGCCGCTGGGTGGGGCATGGGACTCACTCCAGGAAGGGAACGCTGCTGGCTTTGAGGCCCATGAGGATTCCTTTCACAAGAGGACTCCTCTTGCTCTCCTCGTGCTCCTCGTCATTTTGAGTCTTTAGCATTGCCCAGGACAGAGACTGGCCAACCCACCGCTGTGCAGCTGCACTGTCTGGAGCTGGCAGTCCTGGCAATCAGAGAACATGGCCAGATGGGATAAGGAGTTCTGCTCTTCCCTGCATTTGGCTGGGCTTTTTGGGAAGGGACTTGGTGGAGGAGAGGAATTTTGCATGTTACCACCTGGTACATGGCTGCCAGATCTCTTGCTCTTCTCCTTCACCCACAGGCACGAGGTTTACCCTGCTTCTGGGTGACATCCTGCCTGTGCTGAAGTCACTGCTCAAGCTGTCGTTCACCTTAGCCTTTTCCACGGCTCTTTCAGTCATGGGATGTTGCAGAACACACACCTGTCTGTCCTCACTTCCTCACAGACTCTGGTTCTGTCTCTCCTGCTGCAGCTCCCCTGGTGCACACCCTGGCCCTTACTCCTGTTGTGGATGGAGATTTCCTGCCAGACATGCCAGAGAAGCTCTTTGCCAACGCTGCTGACATTGACTACCTGGCTGGGGTCAATGACATGGACGGGCACATCTTCGCCGGCGTGGATTTACCCGCCATCAATGGCCCACTGAGGAAAATCTCTGCGTGAGTGGGAGAGGCTCTGAAAACCCTCAGCAGGAGGGATCTTCTCTTTAATGTGGCTCCCAAACTCTGAGCACTTGGACTTGAGCAGACAGGGCTCGACCTCCAAAACAGGCTGTCACTCCGAGCCTGGGTGCCCAGGGCTTGTGTTGCTGAGC